TTAACATAATTCTCCCATTTGCATTGTGATCTGTATTTTTACATATTTATTTTAACATCCTTTATATATCCCTCCATGGCATATTTAAGTCCCACTTGAAGTTCCATCTGTGTCCCAAATTTATCAGAAACACTGACCGAAACACTGACACCCAGGTTTTTACTGACAGCTGTCATTGTAAGACAGTGAGCAACTCCGTTTGTTTGTCCGAGTGAGCAACACCTTTAACTAATACTATGTACTGGAGTTGCTTCTGGTTAGTAGAACGTCTAAAGTGGACGATCAAAATAAAGTGGAACCGAGGACTACAACATCATGGTCTAATTTTATTAAAATATTATATACACGCTTCTACACTATTAAAAAAATATTTGTAAATTTGTAAATAAAACAAAGATTAAATTATCTTTCTATTTTCTAGTGTTTTATTTATATTCTAATGTGTTACTTGCCATTTCTTTGTAATTATTTGTGCAATTTACCAGCAATTTCTGTTTTTCCTTCACTATGCACTCTAACACATCTGTACATTTTTTAATAAAATTTAAATATTAATTAAAATGAAATTTAAAAATTTTGTTTTATAAAATGTAGAATTTTTGTAAAAACATATTCATATATAGACACAATTTATATTTTTACAGTTTTACATTTTATAATTCATATATTCACTGTTTACACTGCCGTTCAAAGTTTTTTTTTAAATAAATAAATTACTATTTATATTAAGGATGCATTAAATTGATCAAAAGTGACAGTAAAGACATTTATAATGTTACAAAAGATTTCTATTTCAAATAAATGCTGTTCTTTTGAACTTTCTGTTCATCTGTGAATCCTGAAAAATAACATGTATCACAGTTTCCACAAAAATATTAATGTTTTCAGCGTTGATAATAATCAGAAATGTTTCTTTTTCAGCATATTAGAATGATTTCTGAAGATCATGTGACACTGAAGACTGGAGTAATGATGCTGAAAATACAGCTTTGATCACAGAAATAAATTACAGTTTAACAGATATTCACATAGAAAACAGCTGTTTTAAATTATAATAATATTTCACTATTTTTACTGTATTTCTGATCAAATAAATGCAGCCGTGGTGAGCATAAATCACTATTAATTTGACAAATACTTCTATCAAAAGCGGCACACGAATAAGGAAGAGGTCAGAGATTTGAATGGCTCAAGCAGAACCCGTGCGTTTTTCTGCAGATGTGTGAGCTGCTGCACTATTTCTGCGACTGTGAGCTGAGGCATCGCGTCGAGGCCATCGTCTCGTTCTCCGACAGCTTCGTCTCTAAGCTGCAGGTCAATCAGAAGTTCCGCTATAACGAGCTGATGCTGGCGCTCAACATGTCGGCCGCCGTCACCGCCAAAAAGACCAGAGAGTTTCGCTCGCCGCCGCAGGAACAGGTGCTTCTCCTCCACTCAGATCAGTGTGATGTCACTTCCTGTTTAGATCAGTGTGATGTCACTTCCTGTTTCTCCAGCGGCTCATCCTCTGTCCGGTTGGATCTCTGTTTCAGATTAACATGCTGCTGAACTTCACCGTGGGCGAGGACTGTCCGTGTCCCGCAGACATTCAGGACGAGCTGTACGACTTCCACGGCGAGCTGCGGCTGCACTGCGGTGCGTAACGCATAAAACATGCTTCTGACTCCCGAGACAACCTGTGGCTTTCAAGAAAACTAGGAGTGTCTGTAGATTTCAAAAAGTTACTCAAATAAATATCATTAAAATGAATTAATTACCATGACTTTTACAGCCGTTCATGATTTACTGGAGATTTTTTTTTTTTTAATTTATACCTGATCAAATATTTTAGAGCATTGAATAAATAGAAGAAATTATATTTTAAAATTAATTAGTTATAAAAAATGCATATGGAGTTTGAATATTTTAGTTATTTTTATGGCTTTTCCAGTTGTTTTTGATTTACTGGAGAAGAATTTTGCTTTTTTTTTTTTTTTAAATGCACAATTTATACCTGATAAAATATTTTAGAGCATTGAATAACTAGAAAAAATTATGTTCATTAATAAAATGCCAATGGAGTTGTATTATTTTGTTAATTTACATTATTTTTTACAGTCGTTCATGATTTACTGGAAATTTATTTATTTTGAGCATTGAATAACTAGAAAAATGTGTATTCATTATAAAAATGCTCGTAGGGTTATAATATTTTATAAATTTCCAGTACTTTTGCAGTTGTTCATGATTTACTGGAGAAGATTTTTTTTTTACTCAATTTATACCTGATAAAATATTTTAGAGCATTGAATAAATAGAAGAAATTATATTTTAAAATTAATTAGTTATAAAAAAAAATGCCTATAGAGTTTGAATATTTTAGTTATTTTTATGGCTTTTCCAGTTGTTTTTGATTTACTGGAGAAGAATTTTGCTTTTTTTTTTTTTTTAAATGCACAATTTATACCTGATAAAATATTTTAGAGCATTGAATAACTAGAAAAAATTATGTTCATTAATAAAATGCCAATGGAGTTGTATTATTTTGTTAATTTACATTATTTTTTACAGTCGTTCATGATTTACTGGAAATTTATTTATTTTTTTTTATTTTTTTTTTCAGATTTATACCTGATAAAATATTTTAGACTGTGGAATAACTAGAAAAATGTGTATTCCTTCTAAAAATGCCCTGATTAATTTCCATGAACTTTCCATTCGTTCTTGATTTACTGAGTAAGAATATAATTTATTTTATTACTCAATTTATACCTGATAAAATATTTTAGAGCTTGTTACACAAATGCCCGTATGATTATAGCATTTTATGAATTTCCATGACATTTCCTGGTCTAGAAATCACACATCTGATAAAATATTTTAGAGCATTGAATAACTAGAAAAAATTATGTTCATTAATAAAATGCCAATGGAGTTGTATTACTTTGTTAATTTACATTATTTTTTACAGTCGTTCATGATTTACTGGAAATTTATTTATTATTATTATTTTTTTTTTTCAGATTTATACCTGATAAAATATTTTAGACTGTGGAATAACTAGAAAAATGTGTATTCCTTCTAAAAATGCCCTGATTAATTTCCATGAACTTTCCATTCGTTCTTGATTTACTGAGTAAGAATATAATTTTTATTATTACTCAATTTATACCTGATAAAATATTTTAGAGCTTGTTACACAAATGCCCGTATGATTATAGCATTTTATGAATTTCCATGACATTTCCTGGTCTAGAAATCACACATTTAAAGTATTTTCCAAGACTGTGATTCCTGTGGTCTGCAGTAGTTCTCAGGTTGTTTGAACGCTTGTTTTGTCTTGTTTGAAAGTGTTTTAAGTCTCGCTGAGGCCCTCTAGTGGAATCTGGACTCACTGATGGTGAATCTGAACCTCGCTGAATGAGCTCTGGACGGAGGTGCAGTGAGGCATTGTGGGTAACGTGCTGATGTTCTTCATCTGTGTCCCTGCAGGGATTCCAGTGGAGGAGGATGAGGAGGATCAGGACTCGTCTATTAAAGCTCGTCTGCTCGCTCTCGTCTACAAGATCAAAGGTCAACCGCAGAGATCTGAGCGTGAGCCCACAGAGAAAGAACAGAGCGCTCCCTGTAAGCTCGACTCCTTCAGTCCCGAATGCTACACTGTAAAAAATGACCGTGAATTTAACGGTAAAAGACTGTAAAAATGCTACAGTAGAAACCTGTTAAATGGTTAACGGTAAATTCCTCTACTATATACGGTGAAAAACTGTATTGGACATTACATGTAATTTTACGGTAGTGTACCGTTTTTGGAAGTGAAAAAGACCGTATAATTTACAGGGAATAACCGTAAATTGACATTCCCAGAATTTACTGTTACATTTCAAATTTGATGTTTTTTTGTTGAAATAACTATGTTTCTTCTTAGTTTTTTCTTATCAGTTTTGTATATTAGGGTTGTGTGTTACACCTAATGTTGTTAAATAAATGTTTATTGCATTATTTCAGTTTCACGTGTGTTACCATGATGGTGTTTAGTGTCTGTGTGAATGACACTGTGCACCTTCTATATATGTTATTATTTAAAAGCTGCTTGTGATGGGCTTTGGTTCATCATGTGACTTTCTCATCACCACCTGCATTTGGTGGTTATCAGTGTACAAAACAGATTTCAGTACTTCAATAGATTGGTATATTAACATTATATCAGTTAATGAAATTACGGTATTTAACTGTAAACCGTAAAACCTAATTACGTAAAATTTTACGGAATTTTTTTTACAGTGTGGGTCTGTAATTTGCCAGTTCATCTACTGTGCTGCTGTATTTTTTACAGGAATTCTCTGCGTTTTCCTGTAAAAACAACAGGCTTTTTTTTTACAGTGTATGGTAAAAAGGTTTACAATAACGTATTGCAAGTTATTTAATAAATGTAAGAAAAATAAGGAAAGAGGGCTAAGACAAAACTTAAATAAGGAACTGGATAAGGCGGAAAAAAGCATAGAGAACATAAAAGAAATAGAAGGTAGGCTGAAGGAAATGGAAGAGGAGAAGTATGAAGCTGCAAGATTAAGCAGCAAAGCAAAATATACAGTGGAGGGGGAGAAGTGCACAAAGTTTTCTTTGATCTAGAGAAAAGCAGAGGAAAAGCAGAAATGATTAAAGAAATAAGGGGCAAAAATGGGATAATAGTAGAAGAAAATGAGGACATTTTGAAAGAAATAAAATCATACTATGAGGACTTATTCTGTACAGAGGGGGTAAAAGAAGGAGAAAAAGTGGAATTACTGAAGCAAATAAAAGCAAGAGAAGGAGAAGTGGATAAAAAAGAGTGTGAGGATGAAGAAAGAGAAGAAGAAATAAAAAGAGCAATAAGTGGATTAAACAAAAGAAAAAGTCCGGGGATTGATGGGTTGGGGAGTGAGTTTTAAATTGTTTTTAAAGATTTTTTAACCAGTATCTTAAAAGAAGTATTTGATGAGATTTTTAGGAAAGGTGAGATGAACCAAAGGATGGGAATGGGATTAATGAAGCTGATATATAAAAGGAAAGGAGACAAAGTGGAGTTAAAGAATTATAGGCCTATAACAATGCTTAACACCGATCTGAAGATTTTATCAAAAGTTTTAACTAACAGATTAAAAGAAGTGATGCCCAGTATAATCGAAACAAACCAAGCATACAGTATTAAAGGAAGAGACATTGCGGATACAACAATGAGCATAAAAGATACGATACGATATATTACTGAAAAGAAGAAAGATGGTCTTATAATCAGTTTGGACTTTGAGAAGGCTTTTGACAGGGTAGAGCATGATTTTTTATTCGGGGTTCTAAAGAGTTTTGGTTTTGGAGGGAATTTTATTAAATGGGTTAAGATTTTATATAAAGGTGCTTTAACGAGAGTAAAATGTAATGGGTTTTTAACAGAGTGTTTTAAATTAACGAGATCAATTAAACAGGGTTGCCCGTTGTCGGCACTTTTATATGCTTTAGTTGCAGAACCACTGGGATTAACGGTAAAACAGGAGGGGAGAATAAAAGGGATAGGCATAGAGGGAGGAGAGAATAAAATATTTCAATACGCTGATGATACTACGCTAATGCTTCAAGATCTGGCGAGTGTAGGGGAAGCAATGAAAATAGTACAAAACTTTTGCAGGGGATCAGGGGCTAAAGTGAATGAGGATAAAACGGTATACATGAGATTTGGGGGAACTGAGGTTTTAACTGGGCACTTTAATTTTAAGGAAATGAATGAAATAAAGATTTTAGGCGTTTTAATGGGGAAGGATGAAACGAAAGCAGATGGAACTATGTGGGAGGAGATTTTAGGAGGGATCGAGAGAAGGTTGAATTTTTGGAGATTAATGTCCTTAACTTTGAAGGGGAGGGTTTTAATTGTGAATGTTTTAATGGTTTCTAAGTTATGGCATATTTTATATGTGGCATCAATGCCGTTGTGGACAGAAAAAAGGCTGAAAAAATGTTTTTTAGATTTTTTATGGGACGGGAAGCCGCCGAGAATAGCATATAACACTTTAATAGGAGCAGTGGGGAAGGGGGGACTAGGGCTAATGGATGTGGAGCAAAGAAAGAACAGTTTAAGAGTCAAAATGATAAGCAAATATCTGGACGAAGGAAACAAGGCGGCATGGAAAAGAACAATGGAATATTTTTTAAGTAAATGTGGTAATTTTAATCTGGGGGATAACGTTTTATGGATGAGAGTGAAAAAATTTATGACAGAGGGGTTGCCAGATTTTTATAAAGAATTGATGGGTGCGTGGGGGAAATTTTTAACGTGTGTGCATTTTAATACACAAGGAAGAGAGAACATTTTAAACCAGCCTTTATTTTTAAACACCGGCATTCTTTATGAAGGGAAAGAGGTCTTTTTTAGGAAATGGTGGGAGGTGGGAATCACAAGGGTAAGGGATGTTTTATATGAATTCAAAGAAGGATTTTTACCAGTACAGTACGTTGTTGACATGATGGAGGAGGCAAAGGAGGATTTTAACAGAGAGGAACTGATAAAGAAATATGACATAATTAAAAAGGCAATACCTGGAGAATGGATAAAGAGAGTGGAAAATATGGAAGAGGCCAAACAAGAGAAAGATGTGTATGTAAGACTGGGGGAAAAACTGAGTGCTTTTAAAGAATGTACTGTGAAAATGTTTTATTGTTTTTTTAGAGATGTGGTTTTTAAGAAACCGGTTGTAAACGAATACTGGCTACGGATTTTCAATGATGTAAAAGAAGAGAATATATGGGGGAACATAAATGGGAAAATTGTACAGACGAAACTGGAGAATTTGGAGTATTTTATCAGGAACAAAGCAGTGTTCACAGATGTGATTTTAAACAAAATTGGGATGGAGGAAAGTGCCACATGTAAAGTATGCCAGGATGCAGACGAAGGGTTTTTACACTTGTTTTTATATTGTAATGAGCTGAAAGATTTTAATGAGAGATGTAAAAGCATGATTTTAATTTTGAGAGGAGAAGAAAATGGGAACTTTGAGTGGGAAAAGGTGTTAATGTTAGGCATTAATGAGAAATGTAAAAATAAAAAGCTCATTAATTTACTTGTGATGTTGATGAAAAGTGCAGTATGGGAAAGAAGGGTGGTGGTAAAAAAGGAAAATGTTTTACTTGATGTGTGGAATGTGTTTAAGAGAAAAGTTGAGAAATATGTTGAATGCCTGTTTTATTTTTTTAAGTTTGAGGAAATTATGGATGTTTTTTATTGTGTTTTTACTCAGGAGGTCTTAAAGGTTTTAAATGACTTGGGGATTGAATTGTCATTTTTAAAAGATTAAACCATTTAATGACTCCTTTTTTAAATGTTTGTAAGTAAGATGTCTGTAAACTCTTAATTTTAGGAGTTTTATGTCAAAGAAATCATCTTATGTATTTTAATATTTTAAATAATTGATATGTATGTTTCAATTGATAAATTTCTTTAATAAAAAAAGAAAAAAAAAAGAAAAAAAAGTATGCGCCCGATCTCGTTTGATCTCGGAAGCTAAGCAGGTTCAGGCCTGGTTAGTACTTGGATGGGAGACCGCCTGGGAATACCAGGTGCTGTAAGCTTTACCGTTTTCTTCACTAAGCAGGGTCGGGCCTGGTTAGTACTTGGATGGGAGACCGCCTGGGAATACCAGGTGCTGTAAGCTTTAGCGTTTTCTTCACTAAGCAGGGTCGGGCCTGGTTAGTACTTGGATGGGAGACCGCCTGGGAATACCAGGTGCTGTAAGCTTTAGCGTTTTCTTCACTACTTATCTAATACACTGGCCTATAGAGTGTATGATCTTTAAATAGCCCACTCTTTGGGGCAATCCCCGCTTA